AAAAAAAAAAAAAAAAAAAAAAAAAAAAAAAAAAAAAAAAAATGACGAAAATTGTTCATTGGCTACCAGGGGCTAATCCACACTACATTTACCAGTCTTGGTGTCACCCTGACCTTTCTTCAGCTTCTCATTTGACTTGATGTGAACAGTCTGGTATCAGCTGTGGCACCTGCTTTGGGAAGTCTTCCCTGTCCCCAGCCCCCATTCCCATAGTCCCCTTGTTGTCCCCCATCAGGGCATCTGTCACTTTGTATCCTTTTGGTCTGTTGCAATTGTGAGGGAGGGCCTCAATACAGTGCCAAGTGTGCAGTGGTGGCACATAGTAGGTGTTCAATAAATTGACGGAGTAATACTGCACTCAGTTCTGCTATGAAGAAGAATCCCAGGCCGTACCTGCAGGGGCTCTGGGCTATACCCTATCCTGAGAGGACAGGGTATAGCCCAGGCTGGGGTAAGAACCAAAGCAGAGTTCCCTCGGGTTCACAGGATGTGTTGAGTTGCATGGCCCTAGTCCCCCCTCTGAATCAGGCATGCTGATCTCCACTGCCCCACCCCAGCCAGCTCACAGGGTCCTAAAAATACAGTTTAATAATGTCAGGACTGGGAAGGAGCAGGGACGTCATTCCTTCTGCTTGCACGTTTCCTAGCTCTGGGACCTCACTTTCTCCCAGGGAGATCTGTTTTAATCACAGACAGGAAGCACGCTCTCAGATTATGCAGAAAACTTCCTCACCAGTCCCACCACATCTCTCACCCGCTTCCATGAGGAGCACCTCTGGCCTTGCATTCCTCACGGCATGACTGCTCCTGGGCCCCCCAGAGCCCTCAGCTGGTACAGCCAGGGGAGTGCCGCTTGGCATCAGATTCAGGCACTGTTGTCTTGCCTTCTAACCAGCTCTGATAGCAAGGGCCTTAGCCTCTGAGAGCTTGGAGAGGCACGCATGTGTGCGTGTGTGTATGTGTGGTGGTGGTGGTGTTGGAGGTTAGGACATTGTTCAGACACAGACACTCAAGAGGATGTTTCCAGGATGAGAAGCTTCAGACAAACAGCCCCTCACATAGGGTCTCAGCGGGTGCTCTTTTGGTGGGGTAGGGCTGGAGACAAGAGGGGGGTTCAGGATGGGCGGTGATTGCTGTGCCCACAGCCTCAGGCAGACCTCACACCTGGCTCCCATCAGACCTTCCACTGGGCATAGACATAGGTACCTACACACACACCCATACCCAGAACCCCTAGTGAACCTCCTACCCAGAGGCTGTGTAACTCCAACAACCTCAGCTGCCCTCTTCCCCAGGCAGCATCTAGCCAGCCTGTGATTTGCCAGTAGGAGAGAGGGCGCAGGCTGTTCTCCCTGGGAGGTGGGAGGTGGTCCTGATTCAGACACCAGGCATTACCTAGGGCTCAGGAGTAATGCTGCCCACAGCCCCTGACTCACAGCCCAGAGGGCCAGTCTCAGGACATCTGGTTAGGGAAGAGGTGCCACCCCACGCACGCTGTCTGGCTCTGCAGTGTCTATGCTCTGCAGGCCCCCTCCAACATACTCTCTCACCCCATTTTTTTCTGTCGCCTCTCCTCTCTGGTAGTAGAGTATGATCACTGCACTCACCCTGGGAGGCAGGGACTCAGCGTATGCACCTGCCACCACGCTCCCCTCCGGGGTGGGGGGAGCATTGTCTTACACAAAGATGAAGCCCCTAACTGTGGGGAGGGGGAGACTTCAGTCACCTGGAGCATACCCTCAAAGAGGAAGACGTGTTTCCTTCTCCTCTTTCTCGGCTCCCACCGCATGGAGCACGGGAAGTGTGGGCAAACCACTGCCTTACTGAGGTTAGAAGCTGTACCGGGGGTAAGGGTAGGAGGCGCGCCCCCAACATTAGCAGGGGTCCTTAACTCCAGTGTTATGACAGAACCGTGGCCCTCAGCAGTCCAACGCAGGGTCCACAACCCTCCCCCTCCCTAAACCGCTTTCCTGGGAGAGGGGCGCAGAGACAGCCACCAGGGCCCGGGGGCACTCACGGGTCGTGTTGTACTTGATGCCGTTAAAATACTCGGGGCACGGCCTCTCCACGAGGGCTCCGGCCGCACTCCGGGGCCAGCACGTTCCGATCTGGTCCAAGGTCGTGTTGCAGTAGTTGTAGGGACCTGGCGACGGGAGAGAGCGGAGCGGGGCTCAAGGGGTCGCCGGAGGCGTGGGGCGGCGCGGGAGGCAGGGCGCTGGGAGCGCGGGGTCCTGCGCGCACCGAGAGCGTCGGGGAAGGAGCCCGCGCCGCCTCGGTCCGCTCGCCTCCCGCCTACCCTCGGGGTCCAGGGGCGTCCCCCAGCCGTCCAAGAGCAGCTCTTCGGCCAGCGCCAGGCTGCAGTTGGCCTCCAGCAGGCTGTGGAGCAGTGCCGCGTCCATCGCGCCCCGGAGCCGCGCGCGGAGAGGGAGTGGGAGTGCGCGCCCGGCGGGGCTGCGAGGGACCCGGGCGAGAGTGCGCGGCGGGGAGCGCGCCG